AGTTGACTAAAAAAATTCTTCCAGCTTAGGCCATACTGGCCTTATATTTGAATTTCACTTTAAATTCTCTTTGAAACAAATACATTGAGCCAAGTTTATGCATTTAAAACATGCAAAATCAATTACATAAATAAAAAACAACCTGGAATACAAAATGTATGCAAAAGTTAAAATGTTTATTTTATACATCGAGGCTCATCTTCCTGTCCGCCCGCACCTCCCATGCCTCACCCTTCTGTCAGTCCCTACATTGGCTTCCTATAAAATATAGAGCTCAATTTAAAATTCTGGTTCTTGCTTTCAAATCTTTCTCGAGGGCTGCACCATTCTTGTGGAACTCGCTTCCCTCCTCCGTTAGATGCTCACCCAGTCTCCACTCCTTCAAAAAATCGTTAAAAACCCACTTCTTCATAAAAGTGTATCAATTAAACTGTTAATAGCTCCTGACTGATTCCTCTTCTGCAACTGTCACTAGTCTAATACTATCCTTACCTTTTTGTGTCATTTTACCCCACTCCCTCTAGCATGTAAGCTCATTGAGCAGGGCCCTTAACCCCTCTGTTCCTGTGTGTCCAACTTGTCTGGTTATAACTACATGTCTGTTCGTCCACCCATTGTAAAGTGCTGCGGAATTTGATGGCGCTATATAAATACCATAATAATAATCATAATAATAATAATAATACATACATATTAGTCAGTGTAGTCAACAATGCCTTTGTGGCAAATGTGCCTATGCCACGAGCTCCTGAAGGAGCATGATAGCTAGCCTCCTGCACAAGGACTATGGATCTTGTCACAGAGACCCTTCTCCCCACCTGGTCCCCTCACCTAACTGTACCTGACTCCCCAAAGCTCCACCTCCTCTGTAAGGAGCTAACCCGCTTAACTACACCCTCCCGGCCATGCATCCTTATCAGCCCCCTTTGTAGTGACTACACGACTACTACTGACCAGCAGAAGGCTTCAGAGGCATGGTGCAGCTGACTGTGAGCAACCACCAAAAACCTTGGACTTCTGGAGCGGATTGCGGCTCCAGTGCAATCCACTAAAACGTTAACCAGAATGCTTTTGGTCCCAGTACCACCTAGCAAGGTTCTTTTTGGAGGTGAGATAGAGGAGTTTATGTGGCATCCAAAGATACCATGGAATTGGGGGAGCCAGACAAACTTAAGGTAAATGCCGCTGTTTTAGGTAACCGGGACTTTTACCCCAGCGCCATGGAACTCTGCACCAGATCAGGGAGCAACTGCTGCCAGCTAAAACTTTTACTTTTATCCAAATCAGCCCAGTCACCTCTGATCTGGGCATTACAATTATTAAGAACTCCATTAATCATTTGTTGATTACATTTATTAATATTTCCAGAACTCTTTCATTTCATTTTGATTTGAGATCCATTTAATGAACGCTTTTGTAATCTCATAATTTCTCAGACAATAAATAATTGGATTTAAAAAGGGGGTTCCTGTTGTATACAGAAGAGACATAATCTTGCTGACATTGACTGACTGGCCTTTTGATGGGGTCATGTATACAGCTATTATTGTTCCAAAATACATACTCACTACAGCCAAGTGAGAACTGCAGGTGGAGAAAGATTTATGCCTCCCAGTTGTAGAGGAAATTCCAAAGATTGTGATAAATATCCAAATATAAGTGAAAAATATTAATAAAAATGGGACTAAAACAAAAGGTATAGCTAAGACAAAATCTGCTACTAAAATAATGGTATAGTCTGTACAAGATAACTCGATAAGTGGACCAACATCACAGAAATAATGATCTAATATATGAGGACCACAAAATGTTAATTTAGAAATGAGGAAAACAGCAACAGACATAGGTAGAAATGCTAAGATCCAAGAGAAAATAACCATCAGGAGACGAAGCCTGAAATCCATGATAGAAATGTAATGTAACGGGGCACAGATGGCCAAATACCGATCATAGGACATCACTGTGAGAAGAAGACATTCTGCTGCAGATGAAACACTGTGGAAGCCAAGTTGAGTGAGGCAGCCAATAATATGTATAGTGCTTCCCCCATTAATAAGCACATGAAGCATATTGGGAGTTATATTTGTGGTAATTAATATATCAGACAAGGATAACTGACTGAGGAAGAAATACATGGGGGATTTCAGACTTGGAACCTTTGTCACCAATATTATAATAAGAAGGTTACTGACCAATGTTAATATATATATTGTAAGAAAAAGAACAAACAAAAAAGTGTTAAAATCCTTCATATTCTGAAATCCAAGAAGTAGAAATTCACTTATTTCTGTCTCGTTTACTTTAAGCATACTCATTAGCTAGGAGGAAATTAATTAACTATGAACATTTTATAAATATGTTCTTACATCTGAGAAAAAAATAAAGCAAAATGTAATACTTGGAAGCATATTCCTTTCGTACAAAGTTTGATCAGGTTATTGGTTACATATTGTGATGCATGTAACCTCACTTATTTTCGCCTCCACTCAAGGTCTGTCGAATGTCAATATTTTTATGGCTCTAGAACCCTGTCCCCACATGAGGTGGTATGTGCACAGTGCGACTTGGAATAACTGAAGCACAAAAAGGGGTGAGAAAATGGGTCAATATACATATATTATAAAATATTAAGTATATATTTTGCATGACACATTTTCCCGTCATTTGGTTCACAAACCATGTGATAAAAAATAATTATTAGAGGGAAAGCAGTAGGAGTATATATATATATTTATATACGTAGTCTTCCTTTTTTCCCTCTATTGGACACTTCTTACTTGTACTGTAAATAAAATCGATATTTAATGACTGGCCCCAAGTAATCATTTTTTTCCCCATCAATCGTCTCTTTTTTTTTTATTTTGTCTTCTCAGTTGGAATTTAGAGTCATAAAGCAAAATGTGCATGATCAGTTATTTTTGTTGGTTAGTGATTCTGGCACTTTTCATGATAAAAAGAATGAATCTTTTAAATATCACAATATCTCATCTTAAATAATATATAATTTCATTATACTGTTGATGTGATTAAACTTAAAATGTAACATGTATAATTTAATATATGTATCTTCCTTAAGTAAAATTGTATCTGTTTTTTATTATTATTTATGCCCTGTGGAAGTAAATGCACGTAAACCTTAATTATTATAACATTTTAAATTAGGAAAAAGTCTATCATGTTTTTTTAACCACATTTTCTTTTTAAAACAGCTATGAATCAAAGCTAACTGACTCATTTAACATGGTACTAGCATTTAATAAATGATAATTTGAAACATTTGAGACTACATCAGTTCAGAAGAGTTTAACCCCTTAAGGACACATGACATGTGTGACATGTCATGATTCCCTTTTATTCCAGAAGTTTGGTCCTTGAGGGGTTAATATTTGATATCCGCTCTCCATCCAAACATGGAAGGAACAAAAGAAATTTGAAGCTATTTCCAATAATGCCACTTAAAGGGAAAATAATATTCTTGATTCCAATGTTCGGATTTCGCACTTTAGCAAGCAGTTAATATACCATACCATTTATTATAATTATGAATATTCTGGTATTTCCTGTTATCCTTTATACATTCTTGATAATGAACATGACACTGGAGAACTGCTTCAGTTGTATATCAATATCATAACTTCTTACATAGACACTGAAATTCTGTACAATGATTTTTGTAGCTTTATATATAGTATGCAAGAAGGCTTTCTATATAGTATGCAAGTACATTTGGATGATATATTATAATAATCCATTATAACAGTTCAATTAGTAATTCCCTTGAAAACCATGTTTGCAGAAGGCAAAGGAACAAAACAATAGGTGTCCCTTTGAGCATTTCAGGGGCCTTTATATGTTTGTGTATTTTTTACGGAAACCCAAAGGATAGGAATTGTTTAGAGAGTTGTTTGAATTTAGATTGTAAGTCAAGAAAAGGGATCCTAGAAACCTATATTTTATCACGTAATCTGGAAAATACCTAAGATAAAACAATATTAATATTTTTTAATATGATTGATACATACATATTTTAAATGCATTTTTAAAAATCTCCATATCAGTGTCAACAGAAGTTTTTTTTTTTTTTTTTAATTATTGCCCATCTCAAAAGTATTAATGTTATCACCCTGTGCAGGGTGAAAGGATGTGAAAATCCAAAATGGCCCCTGTGTGTATAAAGGAATAATATGTTAATATGTTCTTTATATAAAACTCTAGCCAGTGTGGAATTTTACCTGCTGTAATATGTGTATTTGATTGGATACAAAATGTTAAATTCAGTAACAATAATACTGTTACTCTACATTGCAGGTTATCTAAGGCTTAGCCAATGTCTTATCACCAGAATTATCCAGGATCACCAGAATTATCCATTTGAGAGAGGATTGGAGTGCAGGGTATTCTCTTTCATTGTTCAAACTGAGCTCAACTCCTGATGCATGGAGAAAAGACCTTCACAAGCCTCTGCTAATGTGTACCTAGTTTATACTAAATGACCCATAGGTTGAGGAGGTGGTGACCGTGGCGGTGGAGGAGGAGGATGAGGTAGCCAACACTATTATTTATGTTTTTTTTTTTTTTTTTTTTGTGGTAGTCCACAAAATATTGGGACATACAACAAAAGAAATATTTGCGGCCTGCGGTACATTTCTTGCAGTCCCGATGCATGGAGAAATGCTCAACTCCTCACACATAGAGAAAAGGCCTTCACAAACCTCTGCTAATGTGTACCTAGTTTATATTAAGTGACCCATAGGTTGAGGAGGCGGTGACCGTGGCGGTGGAGGAGGAGGATGAGATAGCCAACACTGTTATTTATGTTTTTGTTTTTTAATTGTGGTAGCCCACAAAATATTGGGACATACAATAAAAGAAACATTTGCGCCTGTGGTGCATTTCTTGCAGTCCTGATGCATGGAGAAAAGGCCTTCACAAGCCTCTGCTATTATGTACATAGTTTATACTAAGTGACCCATAGGCTGAGGAGGCGGTGACCGTGGCGGTGGAGGAGGAAGCAGTGGTGGAGGAGGAGGATAAGGTAGCCGACACTGTTTTTTATGTTTTTTTTTTTTTTTATTGGGACATAATATTGGGACAAAATATTGGGACATATAAACAAAAACAACTCTGTTCTGCAGAGTAGCTGTTGACATTATAGTTGTGCAGGAACTTTATTGGCTCTAGAGAACCTCGGGCAAATCGCACATTCCCGTGGCGGCGACTTTGCATGCGGATGCCATCCACATCAACTTTCGATGCCAGTTTCTGGGCATACCATGGTGACCTCGGGTAACAGGGAATCAGACTTCCATTCCATACAGGGACCCTGAGAAATGGCTACCACATGCAAGGAAAGCAGCATGCGTGCAAATGACCCACTCCCGATGCGGGAAGGTAGTGATGATAAATAACAATACAAGACTCTTTAGAGGCCCTGTAATTGTAATGAGTCCACTAAAAATCCTTTAACTCTGATCAATTGTAGGGAAGTCTGGTGCAGAGCCACTGACCAGTGCATGCTGCAGCTGAAACTCCACTATCACCTGCTGCTGCTCGCACAGTCTCATGAGGTGGTAAGCGGGAAGGCTGAAGTTACGCTGCAGCACAGACAGTTGCGGATCAATCTGGTGATTGCTTCTGGTATCAAGTACTCTTTTTACTGAAGCTGCATCAGGGTCCTGGTATGTGGCCGCACAAACGCTGGTGCTCAACACCAGGGGGCATGCGGTTACCCTGCACCAGACCCTGCTAATACATTCCACACTGTGACTCCTAACTTCAAAATCAGGCATACTGGGTCCCGGTCATCCGACCGCCGCCCATACAGTGTCTGGGTCCTGGTCACCGGACTGCCCACCTCACTGTGAAGCTACGAATGGATCATTAAATCTGGTACGATCATGAACTTTGGGTTCACTCAAGTCTATTATGGATCCTTTGATCGCTACATGTATTACTTGGATAACTGGTAATTCTCAAGCTAATACATGCCGACGAGCGATAGGGGATGGCCGCTCCACTTTTGCACCCTGCTCCCTCTTATTCTGTGCTGGTGCCTCTGTGCGACCAGCGCCTCTTCCTCCAAACTGCACACGTCACTCGCATGACCTTGATTCCATGTGGGGTCTAGGACCTCATCATTCTCCACATCATCTTCCACCCACTCCTCAGCCCTGCCCTCCTTGATGGTATGCACACTGCAGAAAGCCACAGCAGTTGGCACCTGTGTTTTTCCAGCATGTAAAGTCTGCAAAGGACATATGGAAATTGTTTGAGAATTTCCTCCAGGCAACAGTTTTCCCAATAAACTGACCTCTCAGTTTGACTTGTGAGGGTATTGCCCCAGAATTACAATATTGTTGAAGTACCTCTTAGCTATTGATAACTGGTTTAAATATAGAAGATTGTTATCTGGTAGTTTCTAGTGTAGAAAATATCAATCTGTTTTATATCACTTAAATCTGTGTAACAAGTGTTGTAGGTGTGAAACAATATTACAAGTGACCGATGTAGTAAATTCAAATCAAAGTTCAATTTGCAAAAAAAATTCTCGCCCACCTTCTGTGGGTTATTGCATTTTTAAGATGTAGACTTATTGTATCACACTAGCCATGCACAGGTAGATTGTCTAGCACGTTGTTTTGGTGTTTGGTTTCTAACATTGTAGTTGTGTCTTTACACAATATCTAAATGTATATTAATGCTTCTGTATATGAAGCGATCACAATAACACTTATTTTTCACTTTTAAAAAAAAAATATCGGGCTACAGAAAAATTGGTAATTCACAATATGACATCTGAAAAGCACATGAAAGGATGCTGTATGATTTTTTTTCAAAAAAGAACACACTACATGAAGTTCCTGTTCACTAGAGTGTGTAGTCATGAATGTAACCAGTAAAACTTTGTTTTTACAGCCACAGGTTGGCCCATACATATTTTAAAACTTGTTTAATTTTGTTGTAGCATGACTTGTAGATATGAAGAGCAGGCCCCAAAATGTACTATTTAGCAGATTAGCACCCAGAAAATGTTTCTATGTTTCTAAAATAAGAATATTTACCACTGCGCTGTAAGCACACTATTAGACGCTTCGATTTGACTCTCAGATATGAAGTGCACCCCACTAAAATACTATTTAGCAGTTTAGTACCTAAACAATTTTAAGTTTTAAAACTGTAATGTGACAGCAGTATTGGACGCTTCTATTTGACTCTCAGATATGAAGTGCACCCCACTAATGTACTATTCCACTAATGTACTATTTTGCACCAAACAAAATTGTCTTTTTAATACTGCGATGTAACCGCGGTATTTGAAGCTTCTATTTGACTCTCAGATATGAAGTGCACCCCACTAATGCACTAGTTTGCAGAATTCTTTCCTAAGCTGTCCCTATCTGCGGCAGCATCCTCTCCCTACACTAATTAGACCTCATGTGCGTGTGGTGCTACACGACTCCAGCTTATATATAGAGGCTGGGTCAAATGCTGCACTGGCCAATCACAGCCATGCCATTAGTAGGCATGGCTGTGATGGCTTTTTAGGGTACACAAGTCAAACGCTTGTTGTTTGGCTGCCCTGCAGCCTTTGAAAACGCGCCATTAAATCGCCAAACACCGAACTCCAACAGGAACATACAGTGATATGTCCGTGTTCGGATCTGGGGTCCAAAAAACTTTATGTTCGGTAAAACCCGAACATTATAGTTTGGGTTCGCTCAACTCTATACATGCTATACAGATGGAGTTGGAGATGGTTGATAAGATGCAGGAAGCGATTGCACGTTGGCAGCTGGATAATATACTGAGCAGCTGCCTGTTCTCTCCACACTCTCCTTTTCTTAATTCCTCTGGCTCATCAGACTCATAGATGAGCAACCCAGACCGAAGTAAAAGTGCTATGTCTGCACTGATATGGGAAACAGAATTGTCATCTCTAGATTCATCACTGCCACCACTACCTAGACCTTACATTGGGTCAGTACTTTGGTACTCTAGTGTAATTTCTAACTAATGGAGAGATAAGCTATTAAATTGAGCCCAAAAAAAGGATATTAAAAACATGTTATGAATTTGCAAAAGCAATACAAGAGCTCCGCTATCTTAACCCAATGGAGAAATGGGTTGGGTGGAGGATAGATGGACTGAAGCATGGAATGGAGTTAGAAAACATAGTCAATGCTTAAACCTGCAGGAGATACTTCCAACTGGTTAACAGATGGTATATTGTTCCACAAATAACAAATAAAATAGACCCATCAAGAGAAAATATTTGTTGGTTGTGTGGGAAGGGACAGGGATCATGGGTGCATATTTGGTGGAAATCTGAGAAGATATCTCAAAGTTGGATACAAATGCTCAAAATAATTTCAGAAATTGTAGGGGACAAGTTGCCCCATGTCCCCAGAAAGCCTCATTGCACTTAAATTGCGGAAGAGTAAAAAAAAACAACAACATAGGCTGATTCTCCATGCCCTTTTAGCAATGAAAATTATCATTGCCAGAAAATAAATGGAAACATGAGGATACCATCTGTTGGGAACATATTAAAAATCTAATGAATACTCAAGGGATATGGAAAAGGGACTCTTTATTAATAACGTGAGTACCTTGAGGTTATTTGATATTTGGCAGTAGTGATGTTCCGGACGGTTCGCTGGTGAATAGTTCCCGGCGAACATCGCTTGTTCGCGTTCGCCACGGATGGCGAACATATGCGCTGTTCGGTCCGCCCCCTATTCATCATCATTGAGTAAACTTTGACCCTGTACCTCACAGTCAGCAGACACATTCCAGCCAATCAGCAGCAGACCCTCCCTCCCAGACCCTCCCACCTCCTGGACAGCATCCATTTTACATTCATTGTGAAGCTGCATTCTTAGTGAAAGGAGGGACAGTGTAGCTGCTGCTTATTTGATAGGGAAATTGATAGCTAGGCTAGTGTATTCAGTGTCCACTACAGTCCTGAAGGACTCATCTGATCTCTCTGACCTCACTACCCCCCAAACCACCCCCAGCCTCACTACCCCAAACCACCCCCAGCCTCACTACCCCCCAAACCACCCCCAGCCTCACTACCCCCACACCACCCTCAGCCTCACCACCCCCCGCATCACTACCCCCCACAACACCCTCAGCCTCACCTGCCCTGCTCACCTGCCCACAGTCAGGTGTCTGTCAAGGACATGTTTGAGCGTAAGAAGGCAATGTCACAAAGTCACCCCCTTGCTCAGCGTCTGACAGCTGGCTTGACTGAACTCTTAGCCCGCCAGCTTTTACTATACAAGCTGGTGGAGTCTGAGGCATTCAAAAAATTTGTAGCTATTGGGACACCGCAGTGGAAGGTACCTGGACGAAATTTCTTTGCACAAAAGGCAATCCCCAACCTGTACTCAACTGTGCAAAAGGAAGTAATGACATGTCTGGCACACAGTGTTGGGGCAAGGGTCCATCTGACCACTGATACCTGGTCTGCAAAGCATGGTCAGGGCAGGTATATCACCTACACTGCGCATTGGGTAAACCTGCTGACGGCTGCCAAGCATGGAATGCAGAGGAGTTGGTGACACCGCCACGACTTGCAGGCAGGCCTGCTGCCACCTCCTCCACTCCTCCTACTCCATCCTCTTCCATAAACTCATCGGCCGAGTCCTCTTCTGCTGCTGCATCTTGCTCCACATCAACGGCACCCCCCCAGCTCCCCAGGTACTATTCCACATCCCGGATACGGCAGTGTCACGCTGTCTTGGGGTTGACTTGCCTGAAAGCAGAGAGTCACACCGGACCAGCACTCCTGTCCTCCCTGAACGCACAGATGGATCAGTGGCTGACTCCGTACCAACTGGAGATCGGCAAAGTTGTTTGTGACAATGGAAGAAATTTGTTGGCGGCATTGCATTTGGGCAAGTTGACACATGTGCCGTGCATGGCACATGTGTGTAATCTGATCGTACAACGCTTTGTGCATAAGTACCCAGGCTTACAGGATGTCCTGAAGTGGGCCAGGAAGGTGTGTGGCCATTTCAGGTGTTCCTACACGGCCATGGCGCACTTTTCAGATATCCACCGGCGAAAAAACATGCCAGTGAGGTGCTTGATTTGCGACAGCCTGACACGTTGGAATTCAACACTCCTAATGTTCGACCGCCTGCTCCAACAAGAAAAAGCTGTTAACGAGTATTTGTATGACTGGGGTGCTAGGACAGCCTCTGCGGAGCTAGGAATTTTTTTGCCACGTTACTGGACGCTCATGCGCAATGCCTGTAGGCTCATGCGTCCTTTTGAGGAAGTGACAAACCTATTCAGTCGCACCGAAGGCACCATCAGCAACATCATACCATTTGTTTTCTTCCTGGAGTGTGGCCTGCGAAGAGTGCTGGATCAGGCCGTAGATGAGCGTGAAG